GTGGCAGAATACGCGGCGCGGTCCTGTAAGTCAGGGATCCTGGTACAGGATATGTTTTACAGTCGTAGGATAAGCGGCACTGTAGGGCAGGGATCCTAGTTCAGGATGTGGTGTTGTTTTTGTTTAGGATTTGATTTGGAAGACTTTGGTTTGTCGTGATCGCTTTGAAGCCTCGGACTTAAGTGTCTTTCCTCCACCTGTGCTCCTCCTTATATGGGTTCCGCGGCTCGGTTCTGGGCAGAGGGCTCTGCCGCTGGCTCGGCTCCAGTCGCTGCCGGCGCCTGCTCGCCGTGTCACTTTCGGAGCGTTGTTCCCTTGTAACCGTGGCTACTCGCTCCTGGTCGTCGCGTCGCTGTCGGCGTTGGCTCGTCGTGCCGCTGCAGCCGCTCTCTCTGCGCACGTGTCGGAGCGTTGCTGCCAAGCTCCTGGGCGGCGAGGCTTGGTCAGCCACACGCTGTGGCTGCGTCGCTTCCGTTCTCTCGCAGGTACGGCGTGGTTGCCGATTTTCACTCCAATGCCCGCTCGGGCTCACACCGTTGCTGTGGATCTCTGTCTGACCGCATGCACGCGTGCGCGCTGTAGCTTCACTTCACCTTCTCGTCCCCTGGTGTTGTTTCTGGTCTCTATGCGTGAGCTCACTCTCCCAGATTTTTGGTGGCGTCACTTGCCGTCTCTCTTTGGCGTGCTTGCAAATTTTTGGCGTGGGTGATGCGCCGATGCTGTCGCTAGGGGGGGGGGGAAAAGGCCAGCCTCAGCTGTATTTGAGTCGGAGGTCAAAGATTTGGTGCACTGCTGCTGTGGAGCTATGGTATCTATCGCGGCTGGCTGTCCGAGTTCTAGCTTGCGGTAAGGCTCCGTCGCGGGGCCACGTGGCCACGTTGATCTGCTACTGATTAGTTGCTCGGTTGTCTGTACTTGTTGCGGGGGGGGGGTTTTCGACGTGGTATTTGAAAGTGGCGTGGGGGGGTGGTCGTATGATCTGGTCTGCCGGGCACTGGTCGTGGCTCTGGCTATATTCCCTATTGTTCACACGATTTTATTTGTGGCGCTCTGCACCGCACTAACGATCCCGATCCTAATCTCTTGAGTGTCCCTGCTCGGGCGCCATCTGTAAGGAAGTTTCCCAGCCAAGGTACAGCCTCTCAGTCTGTCCAGGGCCCGGCCTTCAATACAGCAAGATTTTTATTGAAGACCATAGAGACGGGGTCGGGGAGGCATATAGGCGGTGCGAGGTGCCGCTTGGGTAGGACGTAAACGTAGGGCGGCGTTGGCCCAGAGTTATGGGCCACGGTGACGGGCCGTCTGGTCGATAGGACATGGGAGCACGCCCAGTGGGACGTAGACCCCGTCGAAGTGGGACGCCTCGCCGCGCTTGGGTTCGATTGTGGATGTAGGAGGATAGGCAAAAGGGAAGGGGAAAGAGCCCGGTTCGTGAAGACAGAGGCATCCGCGTACTGTCTCACTTAGCTGGCGTCCCCGGGAGGAAGGAGGGTAGGCGAGGGGGAAGGGGGAGGGGACGGGAAGGTAGCGGACTACGGTTCCACGTTTGGGTCGGGGTGAAAGTGGTTAGGCAAGAGGGAGAGGGAAGACCAGTTCGTGGATGTCGGGGCATCCGCGTACGACACCACTGGCTGGCTTCCCAAACATGCGAGGGAGGGGACGGGAAGGTGGGTGACTACGGCTCCACGCTTGAGTAGCGGGGCAGAGGAATGGAAACTACAAAACTACAAATTTCCATAGATGTATAAAAAGATGCGTGTAGGTTTTAATGCTTGTCTTTATTTCCTGCCTGCTAGCTTAGTGTCTGTGTGAGTGTGTGTGTGTGTGTGTGTCCCTAATCCCTATGATCGCACCTATCTCTTTTCTCCTTCTCATCTACGTGAGGCCAGCTTACCCCTCTCCTTCCTGCTCCGCTCCTGTCTTCCTGGTTGTCTGGTTCTGTTGGCTCCTGTTCCGCTCCTCGTCTTCTGCTTCCACTTTCACTTTGCTTGTTTTGTTTTTCCGCTTGCGACTGTCCAGTTCTAGAGTCAAAACTTCTGTCCCGATCCTCTGTTTGGCGCGTGCCTTCCTTGGCTCCCAAATCTGGGTTTCTCTGCCGCTAGCCTCTGCTGGCGCTTCGGCTTTTCGGATCTCTCCGCTCTTCTCACGGGAGTCGGTGAGTCGCTGGCGTGGGCAGCGGTCCTCGCTCGGCTCTGTGGGTGGTTGGGAGTTCCTTCGGTCGCGCTTGTGGCGGAGAGTCTGCGCGTTTCTCCCCTACTCATCGTTGCGTGCGCTTGCGCTACGGCGTGAGCAGCGGTCCAAGCTCGGTGATGTGGGTGGGCAGGTGGTTCGGCTCTCTTTTGTGCCGTTGTCGTTGCTCTTAATCTCTTTCTCTTCGCTCGCGGTGGTGGTTCCGGCGCTGGTTCTGGTGGGTGGTTCCTAGGCTGGTTCCGATGATGATTCCGATGTGCGGGTTCCGATCTGCGGGTTCCGATGTGCTGGTTCCGATGTGCGGGTTCCGATGTGCGGGTTCCGATGTGCTGGTTCCTATGCTGGTTCCGATGTACTGGTTCTGGTCCCTCAATAAAGGGTAGGCGCTATATTTAAACTTGTATGGCTATTTAATGGATGGCTTAGAACTAAAAAATAGTGAAAATATTGGCTAGTTGATATCGATGGCTTAGAACTAATAATAATGAAAAGAAATATATAACTAATTTTACGAGATTGAGGTTTGAGGTAGGTGGTGAGCTGAGACCGGTGATGGACTGAGGTAGGTGCTGGTGGTTGGGAAGGGTACCTTCACATTACACAATAAACAATGAAACAATTCAAATTTTTCAATTACTGAAATTACAAAACGCTTAAAGGTATTTTTTGTTTATAACTATTAAGGCTACCCTTAATATAAATGGCTTTATCTATTTCACCACCCACATCAACTAATGCCTCATCCGATGAATTCTCAATTTCAAGATTAATAACTTGAATGTAGTTATCAATTCCGCTTGGAATAAAAAAGAAAGAAAGAAAAGAACATATTAATATCAGGTTTGAGAAAAACAAAACAACAACTGCTTCTTCTTTACTATATGAAAGGAGCTGTAAAAAATATAATTTTTTTAACCCTCTCTCTCTCTCTTTCACTTAGTTACTCAACTTTAACATTCAGTTTGGATTTATAATCATTTAAACCTGACACTAATATAAATTCTTCAGGATCTCCGTCCGACTCTTCTATCGCCTTCAAATGCTCATCAAGCAATTTTTCTGTCAATCGCTTGTTATTTAAATATGATTCATTTAGAATCTGAGCCTGATCGCTTTGAATCTCACTGATGTATGAATCGATTTGATGATTCAAACTATTTTTCGCTTTAATGCGACTAACACTTTCATATAACATCTCCCTTAGTTTCTTATCACTAGCTCTCTCTCTCTTCATGGATTCAGGACTTAAAACCTCAGCAAATTCAAAACAGTTTGTTTTTAAAACTGATTTAAATTCTACACTTTTCTCATTCTCAAAATCTCTTCTCAATATTGATCTATAATGGCACTTTATGCCGACCATTACATCATTAAATTGCAGCTTGAAATATCTATTAAACCCCCTGTGTCCTATATCCATGTGTCCCCCAATTAACTGCTCTGTTCTCACTAAATTCTCCTTAAAATTCTTTATTATTCCTCTCTTGGTCGTTAATACTAATGGATTTTTATTCGAAAGTGAGGTTTTTATTGTTATATTCCGTTTATAAGGACGACTTACGCTATTATCTTTATCATCATCATCATAATCATCGTCATTACTAGTAATGCCGAAAAGTATTTGTTTGCTTGGTGAGGTTGAGGTTTCGGATGGGGATTGCACTTCTGGGGTGCTGGTGGTGGTGGTTGTAGTTGTAGTTGCTGCTGCTGCTGTTGATTTCACTTCTGGGGTGGTGGTGGTTGTAGTTGTAGTTTTTAGATGTCGGCGCGATCACAATAAGACTGTTTGGCCACCATAGGTGGTCGTCAGCTTTATTTATTTGTTTTCGCAAACAATCGGTCGCATGTACAAATATTCTTAAAAATAAGCCGTGATATTTTACAGGCAGGAACATAATTTCTAGTCTAGACTGTGATATTTTAGTATTTTTTTTAAACAAATTTATCGATAAAGCTTATTCAGTATTTTTTTTAAAGGCGACTAGTATTTTCAGGCATATGTGTACAAAGAAGAAGAAGATGCTAACATAACGGCTGTACAAATTGTGATTGTAAGTATTAAAAAAACATCATTTATCTGCTGAATCAAACTTTAGGCTTTCTGTTATTAGGGGGCGTGTTTTCCGGTGTGCTGCCCTCCACCACAGATGCCCAGCTCTGCGCCCTTGGATCCCAAGCTCGTATGGAGGTGTCCGTGGCAGCTGCCTCGTGCTGTCACCTGGCTGCTGCAGCCGTCCTGGAATCAACAAAAGGCCAGTGACCAGCAGGCCCACAGCCGGCCACTGTAAGCGTTGTAGTGGCCCTCTCGTGCCATTGGACAATGGCTCTGGTCCAGTCCGTGTAGAGGCGGCTGTATGTGGCCGCTCCATGCCCCAAGCCAGATGATTTGCCTGAATTTGGCCAGCTGCCGAGTGAACTTGAGTGGGTCGACCTCGTTCTGTACGCTCCAGGATGGCACCAGAAGCTGTGGATAAAGGAAAACAGAGTTTTTGCCACCCTGATCAGCATTATTAATTTTTCTCTGTCTCTTTTTAGAAACTCTGCAGATCCTGGCCTCCGACTGCACGATCGCCAAACTTCCAGCTGGAGCCTCTTCTTGTTGATCAGTGCGGGCTCGGTTCTCTTCAGCAGTAAATGCGGCGTCCATCGCGTCATCCAATTCCCTTTCCAGTCGCTGTTGCAGAGTGTTCATTCCCTCCTCTAGCAGCTGCTCAGGAGTAGGCGGAGGGAGCTCATGTGGCTCGAGCGGAGTCATTATGAGCCTCTGCATGTATTCAGGCTCAAAACGGATTGTTTCTGCCATTTGTAACCGAGTTCTTTCCCCAGTTCTCAGCATCCGAGCAACGTGATTCACCCAGCATATGGAAGGTCTCTCCTGTGGGATTCCGAGAGCTATGCGACGCTCTTGTTCAAGGCGTTTTCGCTGGATAACTGCCTCCTTGGCTCGGGCTTCATTTAGTAGACGCTGCTGCTCAAATGCAATCTGCTCGCAGTGAATTAAAGTTGGCAGCGGTTGCTGCTGTTGGGCTGCTGCTATCTGCAAGAGCTGCTGTTGGAGCGGACGAACGTGAGTTACCAGCCTCTTTTTGTATCTCGGCCGGTCCAGTCTCTGAGGGATGAATGGATACATAATGAGCTTCCTTGCTTCCAGATTTGGATGAGTAAAAAGTGATGTTGCAATCCTGCTGCTAGACGTGTTAAAGATGTCCTCTGCTGAGTCGATGTTGTGTGCCTCTCGGATGTCCTGGCTTCTGATGTATCTGCTGGCCATTGCAATCTTTCTCACGAGTCGGTTTTGCGTGCCTTCTATCCTGCGGAATTGAGAGTCACATACCAAAGCTCCCCAAACAGGTAAGGCATATTGCCATATCGGGGCTATTATTTGCTTATACACAACCATTTTGCATTCTTTTGACAGCCGGCTCTGACTGCCTATAATCCAATTCAACTTTATGGCTGCTGTCCTCACTCTATTCACCAGGCAGGATACATGTGCATGCAGGACCAGCTTCCTGTCCATTATCAGGCCTAAGTAGCGGTGACTACGCTTATTAACGATATGAGTATCATACATTTTTGGTGACAGTTCGCTAATTCCGTTTCCCATTGATTTCCTTGTGTATAATACATGTATCGTTTTGTCATTGTTTAGGTTGATGCCCCATTTAGACGCCCAGGAGGTGAAACTTTTGAGATAGATCTCGTTCGTACGGACTGCTGTAGTGGCCAAGCTACTGGCACACAAGATGATGGTATCGTCAGCATATGTTGATAACAGCATGTCCTTAAAGTAATCTGACCCTCTTCCATCATTTTGTCCTGCTAGGTGCGGCAGTGGCATGTCTGACGTAAAGACAGTGTATAGCACGGGGCCAAGGACACTCCCTTGTGGAACTCCAGCGCAGATTCTTCCGGATCTAGACCGTACTCCGTTTTGGCCATTTACAACAAATGATCTATCAGTGAGATAGCTTTCCAAAACCTGATAGTACGCAAAAGGCAGCGGCTTGGCTAGCTTGAGCAGAAGGCCACTGTGCCAGACTCTGTCGAAGGCTTCACTTACGTCTATGAAAACAGCAGAACAGAATAATCGTTTTTCATAGGAGTCCAGAATGAAAAACTAACTTTGTTATTAACCCGATCCATCCCAGGGGCTTTTTTGTTTTTCAGAGATCTTATTTCCAGCATGACTTCATTTGGTGAGATAGGCCTGAAAGGAGGTTTATTTCCGTCGCTAGTTTCCCCAAATTGCTGTCTTTGGAGCCACTCCGGTGTTGCTGTTAAGCGCTTTAGCTGTTCTAGTTCTTTACGCTCCTCTTCTACCCCGTTCCTAAATTCCTCAGTGTTGGCCAATTTTGGTGCAAATCTTTCTTCCAAATGCGAAACAAATGCCTCAGCTTTTTCCTCGCTAGTTCTTGTCCACCTATAGCTACCACCACTACAGCTAGGCATTTTTAGAGGCCAGTTTGGTTCTGGCTGTCTCTTGAACTTGTTTGTTAACCGCCACAGTTTGTCCATCCTATACCGATCACTAGCGTCTACTTCTTTAAAAAGTTTATTCATTTGACTATTTTTCATTTCACGAATTGCCTTTTTAAGCTTCGAGTTTGCTGCATTACATAACCTTCGCGACTCTGGTGTAGGCATCCGCATGTGCTCACGCTTAAGCTTCCATTTTATTCTTAGGAGTCTTTGAGCTTTCCTAACGATTGGCAGTCTTCCTGTGCCTGGCGCAAACCGCGAAGTTGTTATCGTAGTAGCAGTCGCCGCTGCATTATATATGTTTTGATAGAAGATGTCGATCGCATCCTCTATGTCTTCTCCTGATCTGATTTGGATATTTCAATTTATACGTTGCAGTAAGTACTCCTGAAACTTTCTGATATTAGCCTTGTTGGGTAGTCTCTCACAGCTAACGCCTGCATAAACTGCAAAGTCTATGGCGGAGGGCCTTTTTCTGGGGTCAAAGGGGAAGTGTGTAGCTCCCCCTGTGGCCAGTACGTTTAGTCTGCAGTTTGAATGGATGGCTTCCATTAGGACCCTCCCCCTTTTGCATGATCTGACGTTACCCCACCATTGATGCTTAGCATTAAAGTCCCCGGCTACTATGAATTTAGAGCCTGAGCAAAGATTTCCCAAATGCATAAATAGTTTTTTAAAGTGTTGTGCCGTCCAGGTGGCAACAGGCGGGCAGTATATGGGAGCTATTGCAATTACCTCATTTTTACTGGTAGTTAGCGCTATTGGGGCACATTGCAGGAATTCTTCTTCGATGGGTTCTAGCGCAGTGTGCTTGAGGTCAGCTTTTACGTAGATTGCTACTCCCCCTCTTCTGCTGACAGAGGGATGTGAGGCAGCATATCTCACGTATCCATTTATAGTAAGACTGTCAGCTATAATGGTGTTAGTGTTGACATTTTTGGCTATACGGGTCTCTATAACCATCATTATGTCAATATTGTGTCGCTGCATGAAAAACTCCAGTTCCAAAATTTGGTCCTAAGCAGCGCAGGCGTTCCAATAAACAATTTTAAAAGAGTTGTTATAATGGACACCTGTTGGAGAAGTATCAGTGAGATCTACTATATCTGCGTTAACATTTGTAGTGGTGGCGGCTAACTGGCTTGGCACAGAATGAAGAAATAAATACATATATAAGAATATATATATGTACCTATATCGCGGAACTTGGACTTTTCGGAAATTGGGAACACAAATCGCGAATGGAAGGGATTTGTGGCACACGAAAATCGTACTTATTTAGGATCCTGGTGGTGAAGGCGATGCAGTGCTCGAATGCTGGATAGGTTGGGGAAGGCGAAGTATATCCGGCTCGAAGGACCAATGCTTAAGCGTAGGGGGCGTCTGGAAGTTACGGTTAAAAATTCCCAAAGTAGAGACGTGGTGGTTCCAATTTATTCAGTGTATATTCGTAGGTTTATTCACTTATATATAATGTTTAGAAGATCGCGTGCAAAAGCCAGCCGTTTTGCTTGGGGTGAAGAAGCGCATTACATCTCCGTTGAAGTCAGCTGCCGACCGGCTGTCGTTGCCGGAGCCCGTGCGTGAGCGTGGGCGGGAGCGTAAGCGTAAGCGTGGTGAGTCTGAGCGCGCGAGAGCGCGTCACCGGGGGAAAAACGCTCATAAGCGTGAGAGCGAGAGCGAAGGCAACGAATGCCCACAGAGCTGTTGCTCCGCCAGCGCCGTCCTCACTCTGAACATTCCCCCCCCTTGCAGGATTGCACAGACTCTATATGCTCCGATTCGGAAGCAAGGAGGTTGCTGATGGATCCGGGATTCCTATGCCGGGGCGGCTCGCAGGAAGACGAGACGGGCGCACATCGGCGCTGTACGCTGAAGATGAAGGCGGCGGTGCCGCAGAGGAGCCAGATGGGCGCCGAGACTGGGAAGGTGGAGTAACGTGTGGTGGCTCCGGTTACACACCTTACACCGATCACCGCTTCGGCAATCCTGGCCGGAGTGTCGGTGAGCCATACAATTGGTGCAGTAGCTGAAGTGGAGGACAGCTTGGAACCTCCTTTCGGAATCCAGGCGGATAAAGCGGCGTCATTTCCGTAGAGGATGGATTTCAGATCAGACTCGGCATTGGTAGGACTTAACCCGGGAAAGTCTGCTCTCCACGGTGCGATGCAACGGGATCGAGTAGCCATGTCTGTATGTGGAAGGCTAGGGTGAAATGAAAAAGTCGAAGAAGCATTAGAAGTGAGCTTGGAACGGATGACGGGCAAACTTGGGTTATTGGAAGCTACTCTGGAAATTTGACAAGAAAAGGATGCAACTTGATGGCTCGCCGTATTGGACACGGGACCAGTGAGCACCCAACCAAAAATGGTTTCTTGCCCGAGGAGAGAGCCACATATGTTGTTTTGTAAGCCGCCTAACATTACGGATGGAAGAATATCGGCTCCAATCAGGACATCGATTGGTGAGTTCTCCAAAAAACTTCGGATCCGCTAAGAGAAGGCTTGGCAAGTGTTTCAAGATACTTTGCGAGATCGGATGCAACGGAAGATTCTTTGCCAGTTCCGAAATAACGTAGGCTGCGGCATTTAATTGTAAACCCGGCTTAGTGGGAGAGCGAATGGAAAACTGACAGAGCTTCTTGGATTGAGCGGATACTGTCTGCTTGAGGCTCGAGACTTGTGTCTGGATAAATTGGAATGGCAATTGAATCGTGTTGAAAAGACGTTCCGTAATAATATTATTTTGTTTTAAAATACACTTTTCCTGAAGAATTTTTTTATAAAAAAAAAATGTTTGCTATGTTTTGTCTTTTCTTACTGAGTGTGAATAAATATAATATTTTTATTTACCCTAAGGAAAAGTCGAAATTACAACTTGAGTTTTATTTTTGAGCAAAAAATAAAACTCAAAGATAATGATTATTTTTTGAGTTATATAACTTAAAATTAATCATTATGTTCTGAGTGAGTCAATAAAACTTGAAAATTATCAAATCATGGTGGAAATGCATAGATTATCATTTAAGATGAATATTGGTATATTTCTCGCTGTCTTAAAGTGTTTTTAAGTGAATGATTTTTTGTAATAATAAAAAACAAATAATCATTATTTGCAGTCCTGCGTAATATACGTTGCTTCGGAGCCCGAGTCGATCAGGGCGCGGGCGCGGAAATTCGTTCTAAGGTGGCAAATAATGATTGCTGTGCCTAAAAGGTCAGAACTTGTGCCGGAAGCGAAATACGTCTGAACATTCGTCGCAGGTTCGGAAGAACTTGAATTTTGTGCGGCAGGTACTTGCCGGCTTACGTCTGATTGACGGAACGGATTGCACTGGCTTCTGGTGGGTTGCGGATTCTGATTACCTTTGAACTGTGGTGGATTCAGATCGCCTTTGGAAATGGATGGGTCGCTCTCCATGGCCTCTAGGGTCAGTACCGCTTAGTTAGGAAGGAGTCGATTTCGGTCCATGGAGGCACCTCCTTCTTGTCAGTGACTGACGCTTCCCAAAAAGCCCGGGTAGATTTAGGCAATTTGGAGGCACAGATAGTCACGAGGAGACTATCCCAATTGTCGGTGCAGACCTTGGAGTGAGCAAGGGCAAGGGCGGTTAGGACCGCTTGCATAGTGCTTTTGGAGCTCTTTCAGAGCCCGACTGGTCTCGGACTGATGCCAGGCAGAAAGAGGAGAATGTTAATCTGGTTGGTCACCAGGAGCCGATTATTTTCGTAACGGTTTCGGAGGGCCGCCCATGCCGACTCGAAACCATCGTTTGTGAGCGGGGACTTCTCGACTATGGCCTTCGGATCGCCACTTGTCTTCGCGGTGAGATGGTACAGCTTCTCTGGAGACAGCCTAGAATTATTTATGTAAATTGCAGTAAATAAATCTCGAAAAGTAGGCTAGCAGACGTAGTCGCAAGGCGGCAGTCGACAGCCGCCCTGGTAGGTTTGCGGTGCAGACGGATGGACTGCTGTTTGGCCTAGAATCGTCAACCATCGCTGCGGAGCCAGCCTTATACTCCGCCTCGACCTCCGCCCACATGCTCTGGATTTGGCCTTGCGGACCTCGGAAAGTGAGGCGGATGGAGTGGCAGTTATGCGCGCTTCTAGGTGAGACAGACGGCCAATGGCGGCGACTAGTCTTGCTCGTGCA